GACGAAGCTCGCTGCCAGATGGGTGCCGCGTTTGCTCAATGCCGACAACAAGCGAAACCGTGCGACAACTTCAAAGGAGTATTTGGCAATGTTTAACCACAATAAGAAGGACTTTTTGCGCCGTTTTGTAACCGTGGATGAAACATGGATTCACCACAATACGCCAGAGACAAGGAATAGTCAAAGCAGTGGGTTTCTCAGGGCGAGTCAAAGCCAAAGAAGGCCAAGGTGAGTCTGTCTGCCAACAAGTCATGGCCACAGTTTTTTGGGATGCGTACGGTATTATTCATATCGATTACCTTGAAAAGGGCAAAACCATAACCGGCGATTATTACTCAAAGCTGTTGGACCGATTCGACGACGATTTGAAGCAAAAACGACCGTATTTAGCGAAGAAGAAAGTGCTCTTCCACCAGGACAACGCACCGGCGCACAAATGTGCAGTCTCAATGGCAAAACCGTATGAATTGCGTAACGAATTGGTTCCTCATCCGCCATACTCCCCAGATTTAGCGCCCAGCGACTATTATCTGTTTCCAGACTTGAAAAAATGGCTCGGTGGTAAGAGATTTGAGTCGAATGGGGAGGTCATCGCTGCGACAGAGGTCTATTTTAAGGACTTCGAGAAATCGTATTATTCAAAGGGTATCGAAAAATTAGAGAATCGTTGGACAAAGTGTATAGAGCTTAAAAAGGACTATGTTGAGAAACAAATTGAGTTTTGCCAAAAAAAGTTGTGTTTTCTTGCATAGGCCGATTATTTTTCAGCCCAGCCTCGTAGTATGGAAGCAGTAACATTAATAACCGAGGAGAAGCTCTTCTAGAATTTACTGCATCTAATAAATTAGAAGTGGCAAAGGTTGGAAATTAATCCATTTTCGTAGCATCTATGTGAAAGGAGGTCATTGATATAAGTCTTGGTACACAATAGGAGTGTTCGTTGGTGAGAAAGTGGTCTCAAGAAAAGTATCACTTTTCCATCATTGGTGTATCCTGGTACAGAAACTTCAGTTAAGAAGAAATATTGAAATCCCAAAACCTGCGATTGGGGACCTTTGAGGAGGAAATCAATCAGGGACCGGAGGACTGTCCTCCAACACCGAAGAATTCAGTAGGAAGTTAAATTGTCCTGCATAAAAGTAATTTTATAAAACTGACCCCAAAATCCTGCAGATGTCATCACAAATTAGGTTTGTTGATTTTCTTATAGATTCCATCATTAGATATTGACCAAATATGTATATGGGACCACCCCAGAGGTCCCTTTCCAACAAAAAAAAAATAAATAAAATCGGACAAAGTGGTAAAGAATTATCGCTGAATATACATAAAAAATTAAGAGTTTGGTGATTTTCTTATGGATCCTATTATCAGATTTCAACTAAATTTATAAAGGAGCGTGCAAGGCTTCCAAAATGTTCCAGACTCAGAGATAAGTAAGGATGCATGGGATAACTCAAAAACGGAGGAAGAGACTTTACAGTTATTACTAAAGTCATACTTCCCTGGATGTGAGATTATCCTTGACCAAGAGAACAAGAACATCGAGGCACTAGTTCCTAGGGCCTCAAAAACAAACTGGTACCTTCCAAATACAATAGTAAACAGAAAGAAACTTGCATGGACGATAAATTTCTTTCAACCATACAAGACAGCGAAACCTGATGATATAATCCAAGCACTTCTACAACAGGACCAGGAAGTACCACAAAGTCTACAAGGGTTGTCTTCATTCGCAAACCTGGGAAGCGTCTTACGTAGAGACCAAATATTTCAAACCTATCAGCCTAACATCATGTCTCCTAAAAACCTTGGTGAAATTGATCGAAAGGTATATATAGGATAACCCGATACATTGATACCAGTTTGCCTGCCAATCTAGAAAGTCTTGCGATATAAGGTACCATTTAAGAACGCGAGACCGAGGCAGAAGACAGAGGCAAGCGACCGCGTAAGGCGACCGAAATGCATCTCTTTACGTCTGAGTCACATGTCAATTATATGAAGCACATTTGGGACCAAGCGATTGAAGCAAGAGACCGCGACAGCAATTATAACTCTGTATTTGCTGCCTTGCTGCCTGTTGCGATCGCTCGCATCGGCTTCTCGTTTCCAAATTGTACCGCCATACATGGGCTAGCTCAAAACAAGCATTGGAACTCACAGAAATAACACTGGGAGTGTTCCTAGACAAAGAAGAAGCCTTTGATTCAAATTTATTAATTTACATTAAACTATTTATATGAAAAATATCTGTCTATGGGGTCTATTCTGTACAATTTGTTTAAAATTAACCCCGACTTATAAAGATAACTGGAAGTTATTTTTCACGTAATATTTCGTTAAAATTATAACTTATGTCGGTAATAAATCCAGTAATGATTTCATGGCAGATATATTCTTTTTCTTATTTTTAACCGACTTCAAAAAAGGAGGAGGTTCTCAATTCGTAGCGATATTTTTTTTTTTTTAATTAAAATCAACTAAACCATTACAGAATAGCCCCCTGGTGGTTAAAATATATCCGAAAATTATTTTCATGCATACAGGGTTGTCAAATAATAAATTAGTCATCGCGCTTAAATATTTCAAATCGAATGACCTAACGTTTTTTACATTTTTAGAAACTCTGTCACTATTAGATAGCTTTAATAGCTATTTATGAAATCAGTTACGAAATGGCTTATTTTATGTAACGAGTGAATATCTGCGGGACGAACAGAGCGAGGTCCCGCAAAATGAACGAGTTACATAAAACGGCATTTCGTAACGTGTTACTTACAATATTTTTTCTAATTTTGACTAAATTATTTATAAAATTGTTGACATCTAGGCAACCAATATTACTACTTTCTTTTTATTTTATTGACAACGTAATATTATCTGATAGTATTATGCTCTAATCCAACAAATGAATTCAGATGGTTGAATCTAAATGTAAAATATTTTAAAGAAAATAGAAATCAGCAGTGGATTAAAAAATTATACATAAAATAAGATAAAACAAAATTAATTAATTTACCTAACCTGTGCGGCCTGGAGCCACCACGGGTTATAACTAACACCATATTGACACTTTTTTGCACTAAAAAGGGAACAAAGTATGACCGAACAGAAAATATGTCATCAACTTACTGGACAGCCTCCTACAAAAATTAAAAGAACTTAAAAATATCATTTTTACTTTAAATGAAAGTATGGACGACGATCATATATTAGAAATATAGCCAAAATAAAATAAAATAAAATAAAATAAAAGAGTTTTGTATTGTGCATAAGAGAGATTGTTAGGGATAGAACAATATCGATACTGATATCGGTATATCGGCAGTTATTGCCGATTATCGGTATCGTATCGGCAAGATAATTGTCGATAAATCGGCAAAAAAATCATCAATGGATGACACTTCAAGCTTCAAATTTCTTTTTTTTCATTCACATACGACCGTTTTTACCAAAGATACAGCCACTCGAAAAATCGCAAAAATCTAGATTTTTTGATCCCTTAATTTTTTCCACTAGTGTATATATCTATTGTTAGGGTATTTTTTTATCTTTTGAGAACAAAACCATACACCATCAAGAATTTATACCCTCCATATTGCTTACTATATAAAAATTTTATGAATATAAACCAAATTCGCCGATGTTTTATATACAGGGTATTCCTAAATGTCATGTTAATATTGATAGAGGTAAATTTCTTGATCTATTTTTATGTCTAAAATTTTATATAAATTGAATTTTTTAGGTACATGGTGTTTAAAAATATCAATTAGTTGCCCTCCAGGACACCACTGGACTTTAAATTATCCTCTCAGTACAAACAAATTTAAAAAATGCAACACCCTGTATCGTAAAAAAACGCGGATTATTTCCTTTAATATTGGTAAGACCCTGTATATGTATAGATACTTTAGGTTGATTCTACGAAAATTTTTCAAAATTATTTGTTTGATTTAATTTTTCGAAATGTATTATTTCTAAACATACTTTTTTGAATCTCCAAATGTTCGAATAGTTAAATTTTCGAATAGTAATTTCTCGAAATACAACTTTTTGAAAAAACTATTTTTCGCAAATAATTTTTTCGGAATAAAATTTTCGAATACCCAAATTTTGAAAAGTTAATATGTTTGAAAAAACATGTTTAAAATGATTGGTGCAATTGGTAAGTAATAATAATAATAATAATACTCTCCCTAATTCATCCCCAGTGATAAAATGTCGAGCGCTTTCGGTGATTAAGCCATTTTCGGGACACTTAAAAGATAAGCTAATGAGTACAACTTCCCTTCTGAAGAATTTTATGTTATAATAATTTATGGGTTGTTTGATTGTTCAGAAGAATATTATTTAAGAAAATTGTTTTTAACGAATTTATTTTTCGAAAATTTGGAATCGTCTTCGAAAAACTCGATTAGTTTACTGATCGAAAATTAAGTTTTAGAAAATTTTACTTTTTGAAAATTGAATTTTTCGAAAATTTAGAGATTTGAATATTAATTTTCAGAAAAATATATATTCGAAAAGTCATTTGTAATCTATTATTTGGATGGTCCCTTAACCCGAGACGATTCTGGGAAAGGAAAACATCATAAACACGGCGGTCGACAGAAAAGGGCTGTTTAACTAGTGGGACCAATGTTTGGATGAATAGATTATCGAACACCGTTGAGAAATGCAGTCGATTTCTTTTATTAAGACTGTGTTGTTCTATTTGTTTTAATAATTATTATTTTTGTAACATTATTTTAATATTAATAAACTTCATACGTAAAATAAATTATTTGTGAAGTTTACACATTATTCGAATTCACAAAACAACTATTCCTCTTAATAAATTCAAATAGGTCTTTGTTCTCATCATCATCATCATCGTCATCATCGGACAGATTACTAATCGCAAGTACTCATCCTCGTCCATTCAAGGACAAATCGAGTTCAAACCGATATTAGACAGATAGGTACGTATGAATTTCGATGTATGAGTCACTCACCTGCATCAAGAGTAATCCCACTATAAAACCGGAACCTTGACAGTATCCAACCTCTCTGTCGTGCAGAGAATACGCCTTGATCACATTGAAGAGCGATTCTTGACCGTGGCCGTCTTTTTCTTTGAAAAATTCGTGTTCCGGATAGGTTCGCGCTATGTCTCGTCGAATGACTTTTTCGCATGGCGATTTCGTCTGCAAATAAAAAAAAAAAACAAAATTAAATATTTTTATGCAATAAAATGACAATAAAATCTAGAAGAAGAGAAATTAAGGAATTTGGAAAGATTGCATATAATACCTATATTCCTACCAGAGTTAAAAATTCTGGAAATTTGTTCAAAACAAAAAAGTAAATCTAGGATGCCGGAAGTCTTGTATAAAGACCAAACGGTATATGGCAGACCCGAAAGTATTGTGAATGGGTTTGCCGATTATTTTAGTGTTCATACCACTTTTCTTCTGATCATAACTTAAGCCATAATTTTAACTCCATCCCTTAGATTAATATAGAAAAATTGATTGATGTGGATATAGGTAATCAATGCTATCAATGGATTAAATGCTAAAATTATAGCAGTTGAAGACAATATACCCAGTTTTTTAATAAAAGACTGTAAAAATATATTTTAAGTCAGGAAATCCGTCACTGTTAAATAATTATCACCCTACATTTTTCGATAAATTTTATGGATTTTCTCATTAATTTTAATTATTAAATAGTATCCATAGCCCGCGAACGTATCTTACTCTCATTTCATAGCTGAGATTAAGTTAATAAGCTCGCCCGGTCATGTTCATCTCTTAGCTGGGTCGCTTCGAGACGGTTTGTGCACCACTTCGCTCATCGTCTTACCTCCCCAAGGCTCTAAAAAGTAATCCCAAGACACGCAGAGTTTGAGCTGCATTTTTGCCAGATCGGCGAACTTTTCATATTTTTGATCTTCTTTAAAATGCAGTTTTGATATCCCATAAACAAGATAAACTATGAACATCTTCAATTAACATCAATGTGTTTTTCGTAGAACACATTATAGTTATTTCAGAAAGAGTAGAAATCGACGTCCTTGTCTATGTAACGTCCTCACTACAAAATGTTGCTGTACAAATCTCTTCTGAGATGGGATCTCACATACATGCGATTCTTATCTAAGGGGAATCACAGAAGACGCTATTTGTTCGTATTTTGTGTATAGAACCTATAGATTTTTTTATTTTTCAATATAGCAATATTAAATTACAATAAAAAAACACATAGTAGTGTCTATTAAGTTGGATACATAAAAAAGAGTTAATCTTTATAAAATGTTCTGTTTTATTTAAAATTGATATTGCATTATTCAAGGTTCAAATGGCGTATAGATAGGTACAGAATTTTTAACACGGAAACTATAGGTTCTTTCGTTCGCTATTGGTGCCGTGTCCACCAGTGTCAATTACACCACCTTATTTAGCTAGTTTACTTCCTCCTTATTCCTTATACACATGTCAAGTGTAATTCACTCGTGCTAAATAGCTGGTGGAGAAAATATCCACCAGTGGACACCACATCGCCGACAGGAAGGTGTAGTGGATTTTATACCGGGCCAAACGAAAGGTTTAGTGTCCGTTGATGTAGTTCATTCCTACACCAGTGGGACGAACGAAAGAACCTAATAAGTAGTGTAATAGGAATATTTACATCAAAGACAGAGACCGCTGTCACTATTCGCGCAAAAATCTGTATATGCTATGTATAGTGGTAGTGGTGTGAGAAAAAGTCGAAGTCGTATCGATGCTTGTGTATGTTACTATAAACTTTCTTTGTTCAACTTGTCTTGAAAATTCCGTACCTGTATACATATAGGTACATGATTACAAAAAAACTCTAATTTTGGAAATAATAATACTCGACTTTTCAGTGGGACAGACCGATATGATTACATATTTAAGTATGGTTTTTATTTCTTTTTGAATTCATTTTAATTACAATTTTTAATATTGTCAAAACTTAAGATAATTTATTGTTGAAGCAAATTTAAATTTTCGCTTTCATTGACTGTTAGATACCAACTAAAAAATGCAGCTAGCTGAAAGTTTGACACAAGTTATTTGAAAAACAGTATTTACGAAAAACCAGATTGCCTAGGCCAATTAATTTTAGGCCTAGCCTCGTATATTCTACCATCCTGTTTTACACTTATTATTATATATGAAATGTAGCCTTTACAATTATTTTTGTTGTCTACAGTGCTTGTTTCAAACGGTTTGGCCTAAAAGGGTCCTTCGTTTAATTCACCCACTACTATACATATTATCAGATCACTTGTTACTCCGAAGTACTTAGAAATTTCCATGGAGAATTCACATACACTCCGTTAATCTTTATCATCACAACATTCCTTTTTCCTTTCCCTTTCTGTTACTTTTTAAACTACACGAGTTTTTTTGTTGAGATTAATTTTACTTCCAACGGTTTGTTTTATCCCTCTTGTTAAACATTTTGTAATGCCTTTTTGTTATTTTTATTATTTTTTCAGGCCTCATAATAACCCTGGTTGAAACTACTAGCAAAAACTTTTTTAATAAATTACTGTGATCAAGACGAGCATTTTTGTTATATTTAATACATCTTGTCACATTTAAGAATGGTTTATCTTTTTCACTTCTATATTTTTATTAGGTTCATCGAACTAAATAATCGAGACAAATTACCTATTAGAACTTTTTCCATTTTCATCGATAAATTGATAAACTCGAAAGAACAGGAAATTAATTATTGTAATGAATACAGAAAACAAAAAATAGTAGTAAATTTTCACACCCCAATAATTCTGAAAAACTTTTCCGAAAAGAAAATCCAAAGTTGCAAAATTGGAACATTACATTCTAAAAGAATTCCAATCTACACAAAAAAAAGCATCTAAATTCCTTCACACAGTCGAGCAAACTTAACGCCACTTAAATCTTGAACCTGAACTCGGTAACGCAGTTCTAGAATTGCCTTCAGCCAATTAATGAACCGGAAAACCATAACAAGGTAAAAATTGCTTGGTGGTGTTGTTACTGTAGTATACGAGGGTCGTTGGTTATGTCTGTACAAAATTAAAAAGATGGTCTACCACCGAGATCAAGCAACCTGTTGGATATAGGTGACAATACAAAATATTAGATAAAATTATTTTATGTTTTCATTTAACTAATTTTGAATACACGTAACGTAATTTTTTCTAAGGAGAGTAACCATGACAACGGCCGTGTCAAGGTTCGTACTCTTAAACTCATATCCTATAATTTGATGTGCTCCCTTTAGAAGGTAGGCTTGAATTTTTTTCTGTACATATCGAAGATATCGCTATAATAACGCAAAAATGCAGTTTGTGTGAACAAACCTTAACAGTTTTTAATGCGAATAATGTTTACTGTCAAATTTGAATGGCTCCAAGCCTTTCTTCTTTTTATTAGTCTTTTCTTCTTTCATATGGTCTCTTACTCGATAAGGACTTACTTGAAAAATCAACCACGTCCGCCAGACTGCGTTGAAATTCTATCACCGTTTTCTAACATGGGAGTTACCGTTCTAAAGAGTAAGTGTTCTGTGTGCTACCGAGCATTGTGTACATGGCTAAATAAGTGTATAAAAAGCCTAATGACTAATGAGTCGATCTTGTCCGCACTAATGACAGTACGATTATACTGGCTACTTACTTCGACAACATATATGCTTGTTGTCTTTGGTGGTTGGTGGTCTTCTACTTTCGAACATACGCTCTGTTAAACCAAGATTTAAATCTACGCGAGATAAAAGCTCCAAACGACTTTCACTAAATAAATAATAAACCACCATGTCGTCGGCACGATCTCAAGACGTTAATATTTTCTTTTAATTACTAACTTATTTTGCAAAACTAAACGATTAATAATTAATAACATAGACTGAAATGACTACATTTATTAGTTTGTCGATCAGTTTTCTAAGTCGAACAAATTAAATTACATGTAATGCTGCGGAAAAGCGTTCTGGCGTGATTTTTTAATGAGCCGCGATCCAATAATCCGAGCCGACAAATTTCCATTAAAGTAAAATTGAATTTCTGCAAGCCTGTATTCATTTTTAATGCCGCGTTTCAGCGGTCTTATCCGATGGCGTAGATTTTTAAAGGAAAGATTTTTCTCCGATAATTGTAATGCACGTTTTGATTAATGGTTTCGCAGAATATTGTACAGGAGAGAAACAATGTGAAATTGTAAAACGTTAAATATATTATTAAATTTGATAGGTGTATATTTTAAATTATAACAAAAGAAAAAAAGTATACCGCGGTGAACATTTTAACAAACATTCTGGGACTGATCAAATAAAAATAGATTGCGATATTAGTTTTGTTAATGTTATTCTTCTACTATTAGAGTACTTTTGAATAACTCATTTTTTTTTTTTTTTTTTTTTAGAAAAGTAGTAATCAAGGTCCAAAAACCTGGCGAAAGTAGAGAAAATAATTACATAGGTTTACAAAACAAAAAAAAAAAGTCCGCACTATTTGTCCAGACCATGGTATTTCTAGGTATTTTGGCGTCCTGAATCCAATCCCGGAGTTAGTTTTGCCCCATCACTTCAGAAAAATCAGATTTCAAGGTCATTTAGAAGTCAAAATGGTGCTTTTTCGGAACCGGACCCGGGACAATTTCTCAAGCGATCTGTTAAGTTGAGGGGTAACTGTCTAGGACGTGAATATCTTTCAAACATTGGACAGGGGCCATGAATCTCGACCAGGATCAGCGCAGTGACAGCCCAGTTGATAAAATGTTACCATGGTGTTTGTATCTCGCGAATTTCGATCTCCAGGCCAAGGTGTTCAATTTCGGCGATCCATTTGCTGTGAGATAATGCTAGTGGATCCAGCATTGACACAAATGGCCCTACAACCTTGCCAGAACATTGGAGTTATGCTTCGTGTCCCGCTCAGGTCTGGCCCAACGTGGAGAATTGGCTCAGGGGGTTACTAACAGGCGACTTTCTATTCCACTGCCAAGCGTCGATTGTAACGATGCATTTGTTGTGAGTTAATGACCGTCCAGGGTAGGAAGTGGCCCCGTAATTACTAAATTACGAATTTCAAGATGCGAAAATTTGACGATAAATTTGCTTTGGTCGAACGGCGGTCTACCCAGCGATTAGCTACTTCTCCCGCCAGAGCTGACTCAAGGTCTAGAATTCTCGACAACGGAAATACGTTCAATGGGCCACTGGCAGGAACCCCGCTCATAGTTGCAAATATTGTATGATAGCCACACCAATTCACTTGGTGGAATGTGACGTCTTATCAGAGGGATTGAATTCTAATGGCCTGCCTCAGCAGAACAAAGGTGGCAAACTCTAAAGTTGCGGGTTGGGATCATCGGGTCATTTTCTGCAACCTAAGTTTGCCCCGGACAATATACTCATCTTCACCCAATTTTCGGACAATGTTCTAGGAGCACTTTGAGAAGTGCCGGCAATAACTGACGATAACTCAATCGCCAAAATTCTACGTGTTGGCAAGGGAAGCAAAATTCACGAGGTCGAATACCTCGAACCACTTGAGCATAACTCCAATTTTCTGTCAAGGTTCTAGGGCCATTTGGGACAGTGCTGGATCCACTGGCATTATCTCACAGCAAATGAATTGAACACCTTCGCATGGAGATCGAAATTCGCGAGATACAACGATTATGACAATATTTTATCTACATGGCTGGCCCTGCGCTTGTCCTGGTCAAGATTTGGGGACCGTTTCCAATGTTTGGAAGGTATTCAAGACCTACACAGTTACCCCTCAACTTAACAGATCGTTTGAGGAATTGTCCCGGAGCCAATTCCAAAAAATCACCATTTTGGCCTCTAAATGACCTTGAAATCTGGTTTTTCTGACGTGATGGGGCAAAACTGACCCCGGGATTGGATTCAGGACGCCAAAATAACTAGGAATACCATGGTCTGGTCAAATAGTCCGGACTTTTTATTGTAAACCTGTGTTATTCTTCGTTTAAAGTTTTTCTAGAAAATTTTTTAATTAGAGTAATTCTTAAGAAATAAAGCAAAACCTCTATTTTGTTACTCTAACCTTGGGTGTTATATATTTCCCTTGACAAACTAACGTCTTATTTTGAACTAAAAGTAATTAAACTTTTCACTAAAAAGTAACATTTCGGTTTCGAAATTCAAACATTTTTGACACTCAATCACATACCTACATAAAAAAAATTTAAAACAGTTCTGTCCTTTTTACATTTGCGAAGACTGCCCTGATATCTAATCGATTTTCTTCTTCAAAGTAATAATTAAGTTGTTCAACCGTTGTGTATAAAGGTATCTCACATCTCGCTCATACACATGAAATTGAAAAGCAGCAAAACAAAAATTCAACTAACCAGGTATACCAAGTCCGTGTAAAGAAAACTTTTCATATCCTGAAAACGGCAAGTGTCAACTAAAATTTCTACTTTTAAAGATCAAACGTGTCGCCTCAGAGTGCCAATACTGATTGATACATATACTGGGATATTATTAACCTGCAGGACCTGAGACGCTGGCTTCCAGTTTTGCCAGTCTAGTATTATTATTATTATACTAGATCTAGTACATTATTTAAGAATCTGATACTCTAGTACACTCGAATCAAAATCTAGTACTTTTTCTTTTTTTAGCCTGTTTTCATTTGGACGGGTAAAATATATTGTTGGGTTCCTTGTTTGTGTTAGTTCTCGATAAAAAGCTTTTTTTGCTCTTTAATGAACCAAACCGTCACAATTCGAGAAATAGGGTACAATCAAAGACATTTGGCTACAATTCATAGAATCTGGTACAATTTTGTGGAATGTAGTACATTTCTCAGACAAATCTGGTACATAACAAAAATATATTCTGGCAACACTGCTGGCTACCTATAGACATCCCAGCAACAACCACTATTTTGATAAGTTAATAACCTGCAGTTCTTTGATGAACTGGGAAGTAGATCAACCCACCCTCGCCACCATACAGATACATAACTGAATATTAGATGAGCATACATAAACTATCTTTACAAGCCAATACTAGTAAGAAGTGGCACAATATTCTTTTTTGTGCACCTGTGCCTAATGTGTTCTATTTTTAACCGACTTCAAAAAAGGAGGAGGTTCTCAATTCGTCGTAATATTTTTTTTATATGTTCAGCGATAATTCTTTAACACGATGTCCGATTTCAATGATTCTTTTTTTTTTAGAAAGGTGGTACTTCAGGGGTGGTCCTACATTAATTTGGTCAAAATCTAATAATTGGGTCCATTAGAAAATCCTCAAACTCTTCATTTTTAATGCATGTTTAGCGGTAATTCTTTACCACCTTGTCCGATTTCTATGATTCTTTTTTTGTTAGTAAGGGGGTACCTCAGGGGTGGTCTCATATAATTTTGGTTAAGATGTGAAGACGGCACCTGCACGATTTCGAAGTCGGTTTTTTTTTAAATTACTTTTAATACTTATAAATTATCATTTAAATAGTTTTGTCATTAATTATGAATTTTTTTAAATAATATTATAATATATTATAATTTTTTCGCCTTATTGTGAACCTCAGAGAACATAATGAATAAATATCAAATATGTACATTACCAGACATTCCGTGGCCTACAATCCATTGTTTTTTGTCTATAAAAAGGGAAATATTTGTGTGGGTAGTTATGTAATTTTATTTTATTCGCAAGGAAAATTTTGTAAAAATTAATCTCTGATACAAGATATGCTCGTGGGTTAAAGGTGGAATTTATCTGATTTAAATTTATTGAATTAGAAAATCTAAATATTTGATGTTCTATTTATTTTTTACTAATTGCATTTTTTTTAAATTTTGGCATAATCTTTCTATACGGACTTTTATACAAATATTCCAATTTTCTGTTGGATATTAAAGACTATTTTGATTTTGGGTAAGCTGTGTGAAATTGAAATGACAATTCCACTGTAATATATTCAACTTATTGTTAGTGTGATAGGTCGTCGTCATCACTTATTGGTATTATATTATAATCACTTACACTACTATTGTTGATGTTTTTATCCATTTGATAGAAAAGTTCACTAATGTAGTCTTTTGTATGTTCATTACATGTTTAGTGTTTTTTATCGCTTCAATAATAAAACTGGAAATATCCATCATTAGTTTTTCTTTAAATAACATGAAGTCATCTCTATGAGGATATAGTATTTGAAGTAATAAAGCTAAAAAGGTATGTAATAGAACGAAAATACATTGCATTCCACTGATTTATGTTTAATATATTTCAGTGAAATATTTCTAACATGCCAGTGATCTTGCAAGTCGTAAATTGTAGCAACTGAAGTGACGGAGACTTGCCTAATTTTTTTCTGTTCAAACAGTAATAAAATTTCTACATGTAACCCATTTAATCGATTTATCAGCTGAAATAAGACATCCATGGTTACTTTTATGTATGATTTGACGGAGAGCAAAATCAACTATATGAAAGTGTTGCATTTTTTTGACACACAAAATTAAGTAAAATATTTTTTTTTGCTTTATTTACTAATAGTTATGTGTTCAATGCTATTTTATTGTTTATGTGACTATCGACCAAAGTTTTTACCGGTAAAAGGTCACGTTGTTTTGCCCAATTTATTTAATGATTGTGACATGAGGTGAAAAAGTCCATACCTTCCAAAATGCACGCGCTGATAAAGTTGATGAATCAGTAAGGAGACTTTATTTTGAACACCCGATATATGAACCAGAATAACAAAATTAAAAATCGATGAATACACTCACTGTATCGAGTTCATAGATACTTAGGTAAACGTCAATAAAAATTAATGTTTCTATAAAATACATGTAATGGTATAGAAAACTATTTTTATCTAACAAAATAGACTACAGCATCGTTAAAACGTCCCACGTTCTCTAAGTTTCCCGTAAAAACCGGATATAAAATACATTTAGGTCGTACCAAAAGTAAATAATTTAAAATACTTACTTTTATGTATTCGGCGTATAATTTCTTCTCGGGGGAATCGGTAGCCCTGCAAAGCAGCTGCCACACTATCGCTCTGAAATGTAGGGGTATGCCCCTGCGGACCAATTCCCGTATTTGAGTATTTTGTTTCTTCCAGTTATTCTCCCAATCGTTAACTATGTGTCCCCACGTGACCCATAAGTCCTCCTCGCCTCCATCTTCGGGCCGTTCTTGCGTCGAACTGGTCCCTAAGTATTAAAAATGCATATTTAAGTGACGGCATTTTAAATTTTGAAAAGGAGATCGGAAGTTGCCTATAAACAACGGATAATTTTTATCTGTTTAATTATTGCTTTATTTCAAATATATTAACACAGATTGTTTGTCTGATTTTATTTTTTTAAGTTTGTTATGTTTGGAAAATAACTGATAAGATTAAAATCTTGTTAAATAGCATTAAAATGGTTAATAGCATAATAGAAAATTGATATTAACACTTCATAAATATTAAAAAAGGAGTATAACACAAATATATTAATTTGAAGCAAAACATTTAAATTATTAACATTTTTTTTAATAATTAAGATAGTTCGAAGTGGTTTAAAAATCAAGAAATTACAAAACAATGACTAGACTTAGACCAACAGTCATTTATATAGAAAAACTAGAAAGAAAAGATTAATATTAAGAGCAGTATTTATAGGAATAAAAATTGAAATATTATGAAGCATTGGGAAATACTCATTTTCTTTATTTCAGAAATTAATAAATATTTATATACATATAAATATAGAAATTAAGTAAAACACAATAAAAAAATTTGTTTAACAATTAGGGCTACTAGTTTCGATCCATTGCCATCATCAGGCTTAAAAAAGACAACATGTGTTATACAATGAATAAAAGCAATTCAATATTGTAAAAGATATATATTTAATAGATCAAGATGATTCTTATCATTTAACAACAAACTTATAAAAAAAATATTATAGGTGTAAAGGTATAAAACGAGAAGTGAAGAGAATAAAATGAAAACTAAGACAACAGCTATGAAGAGAGAGAAAAAATTGAAAATGAGTCAACCAACAAATACCTGAGAGAGCTCACAGATGACCAAATCACTGATTAGTCCATTATGGAAAGCTGTCAAAAAAATAAACATACCAATTCAACACATACCCCTCCCTAATAAGAACAGAAAATGGGATGTGCAAAAAGTTTCAAACAAAAAGTTGATGCTTTTGCCAACTATTTAGAACGCATATTCCACCCGAACCTAGAAGAAGGTAGATAAATTGAAATGGACAACCAAGAGTAAATTAGTGATATACAAAAAATATTAATAACTAGTCCTAAAAAAAAATAAAGAATAATATTAATGTAAAAACGCTCCCGGTTCAATCCGATCACAGGAGAGATACTAAAGAAATTACCACGAAATGGTTTAGTAAAACTAACCAATATAATAAACGCAGCATTTAGACTTCAACATGTTCCACTACCATGAAAAACTGCTGAGGTAATAATGATATCCACAGCGGGAAAATCCAATAATGAAATACCATCATACAGTAATAGACCAATCTAGCTTCTACCTGTGATACTCTTGAAGAAATTAAGAAAATTGCCAAGTGACATGATGAGAGGCTACACAAACGCATCTACATTGAAGTACTCAAACTTTTAGACAATCAAGACCTAGTGCGTAGACCTTTCGAGATTGTGTATGTGAAGTGATCGTGATAAAGCAGAGTCAGTGTTATGAGTGTGCATCTTACAGGCCATTGTTCCCCCGAAAGCCCTACAAAATTTCAACCTGATCCATCAAGCAGTTTCATTGTTTTATGCGAGTGAATTTTTGAAGAAATTGAAGGATCACGTTTTTCTATCCATGATATTCATCAAGATTTTGTGCTAATTGTTGGTTGGAAAATTTTATATCGCAAGATCCATAAACTAGACACTTCAAGCTTCAAATTGCTTTTTTTTTTTTATTCACGTACGACCATGTTTACCAAAAATACAGCCACTCGAAAAATCGCAAAAAATCGAGATTTTTTTGATCCCTTAATTTTTTCCACTAGTGTATATATTTTCTTCTTTTTAAAGAAGGATATCCCATCAAGCATGCGGTACTTACCGGAGGTTAAAGATATCTGAGACGTATCGGAACTCTTGCGCGAATGTCCAGACGTCGCCGACGCGCCGCTCAACGAATTGAGCGACTTGGCGTCGGACTCGTAGAGCCGATTGGCCTCTTCCAGTTTTGCTAGCAGCTCCAGCTCGGAGCCGGTTACCTTGTTATTGTTTGTTTCGAGTGTGATCAATTGAGGGCCTCCTATTGGCGATTGATTGTCCTCTTGCTGAAGCCTCATGGCTGCGGGCGGCATTGCCGAATAGTAGCCGCCATCGGCATCGAAGGATACCAGGCAACTCAACGAAACACCTCTGAAAAAAAGGAAAAAGATTCGTAAGATTTCAATTAGATTAAAAAAAAAAACATTAGTAAATAAATGCTGTTTTTATTTAAATCGAAAGCGGCCATGGAAGTTTGACACATTTCTCTGTGTATGATACAATGATATATTTATATAGGTTCACGACTAGCAAGTCCAGCCCAGTGGACAAATGAAAAAATAAAATAAAGTGTAGTAAAAAGTACTTGTGTTATTCTTTTCCTTTTTTTTGTTTTTAGGTGTTTTCTTTTATTTTTTTGTTTTATTTTTTGTCCCGGGTTCGAATCCCACCGTTGGCCGGAATTTTTTCATTTAATTTAATTAATTAAAATTAATTCTGATGCCTTGGTAGGATTCCCCACTCGACCATTCACTGTTGGATTCCAATTAACAGTGCTATTCCTAAAGTGGCGCTGGGAAACAGTGACAAAGCCTACACAGAACACGAGGCGAAATAACCCTGGTAGTTAAAGCCGATGACACACCAAAAAAAAAAAAACTTTACAAAGATGTGATATTAAAATAAAGTCACAGGTTTAAATTTTCTTTATTTATGTTAATAAGTAATTAACTTTTCCTATAATCATTATGAGACAGATGAAGACGAACTTAGCTGGAGTTTATTCCCTCTTATTTCCTTTTTTCGAAAATAAGAAAGTTTAATTGCAAATTAAAGGTGATTGTCTAATGCTAATGCGCCGCCTCTGATAATTAAGTTGTGTTTGTACTTACCTAATCTTGAAGAAGCATTTTCAACAGGTCTTTTAAACATAAAGCATGTTTTCACCATATTATTACAGATTATGGGGTCTATTCTGTAACAATTCCTTTATATTTAACGGCCTTTAAAAATATTGGCGGTCTTTAAAAATATGTTCGTATTCGTTAATTTACTTCTGTCATTATTTAAACAGATTTCTTTAAGATAGTTCTCTAATGTATTTTAAAGATCCGTTTAAATAATGACAGAAGTAAAGAAGAAAATATTTTTAAAGGCCGTTAAATATAAAGGAATTGTTACAGAATAGACCCCAATAAATCTTAAAAATACATTTAAAACCCCTACAAGGCTATAAATAATTATATTTTTCGTAAAATACAAATCAAAAATTGACATGTGTAAGAAAGTGTCAGAATTCTCGCTGTCAAACTTGGCAACGCTGATGAAATAAGCCAATTACACAAGAGGTATTTCACCCCTTGGGGGGAGTAGATGTTGCTACCAAATTTTAGCGCGGGGAAGCTCCCCTTCCCCGCGCGGGACGTTTCCCCCAAACGTCCCTCCAGTAGTGTTTACTTGGAGTATGCTACACTCAAGTATGTGTAAAATATTTGAAGGTACACTGAACAAATGCGATTAGTGTAGAAAACTAACACCTAGTGCAATAAATGAAATCCACTATTAAAGATATGATAGATAGGTGTTCCCTTTGAAATAAAAATCGATCTATTTTGACGTTTTTGTTTTAATCTTTATAGAATTTCTATGAGAAATTAGCTTGTGTTATCTGTCGCGCAAATTTCACAACACCCAATATGTCAGGAGTAATAAATTTACTTCATTAATTGCTTTTGGAAGATTCAAATTATTAAATTATTCTGACAATCGGTTTTAACTCGAAACATAAGAAGCTTCTCCTATTTTACAGTTGATCTATCTATTTTGGGTGTTTGTTTTAAATCTTCATAGAATTTCTATGAGAAATTAGCTTGTGTTATCTGTGGCGCAAATTTCACAACACCCAATATGTCAGGAGTAATAAATGGACTTCATTAATTGCTTTTGGAAGATTCAAATTATTAAATTATTCTGACAATCAGTTTTGACTCGAAAAATAAGAAGCTTCTCCTATTTTACAGCTGATCTATCTATTTTGGGTGTTTTTTTTTAAATCTTCATAGAATTTCTATGAGAAATTAGCTTGTGTTATCTGTGGCGCAAATTTCGCAACACCCAATATGTCAGGAGTAATAAATGGACTTCATTAATTACTTTTGGCAGATTCAAATTATTAAATTATTCTGACAATCAGTTTTAACCCGAAAAATAAGAAACTTCCCCTATTTTAGAGCTGATTATCTATTTTGGGTGTTTTTTTTTTAATCTTCATAGAATTTCTATGAGAAATTAGCTTGTGGTATCTGTCGCGCAAATTTCACAACACCCAATATGTCAGGAGTAATAAATGGACTTTATTAATTACTTTTGGAAGATTCAAATTATTAAATTATTCTGACAATCAGATTTAACTCGAAAAATAAGAAGCTTCTCCTATTTTACAGTTTTATATCAATCTGTTCATTTTAAGATATTTTAGTTTTTAAGAAAGAAAAAATCGGCAGATATAATACACTTGTAACTACTCTCATTATAAATAAAAATAAAGGAACTAAAGATCTTATAATGCAACGACGGCATACTCTTCAATTTTCTTTTAAGTTAATTTAAAATCAATTAAATGCATCGTTACAATCGAAAATAAACTCTTCAAGTAGTTTCTCTTCGATAATTAAAACGTATACATGATAATTTGGTGGTCTGTTTTTGTTAACTACGTGAGTCAACATTCGTAACGGGATAACCATTATAGCGAAACAAACATGCATCGACTATACATTTACATTTATCTTGAAATACGGTGTTCTTCCTATTTACATCTCTCTGCATGATTTACATAAGTAGTTGGAAGACAGTTTAAAGTTAGTGATGTTTGTTTTTGGGGAAACTAAGCAGTTTAGGGAAGTTTCTTAAACAGATAGGAGAGAAAAACCAGATTCGTCGGCTGAAAAGTTTACAAATTGGGTTGTAAAAATAATATAAAACGGATTTTTATGTATGTTACAGGAATAGAAATTGTAGAAAAGTTGGAGTATAAAAAATGTTTACACAAAATTGATAAAATATAAGATTTCAGACTGAATAAAAAATGTAGATTAGTAACTATGTAACTAGGATTTATTTTGACAATTTACTACTTTTCAAATAAATTTAAAACTAAAATGCTATACAGAAATGGTACTCTTACTCAAAAATCTAAACAAAAAAACTGTCAGTAGGAATGGTTGGTATATCTAAGGGGTTGCGACATACGATGTATTCTATCTACAATACGTGAAATCATGAATAATCGATTAAATTTAAATATTTTATGTCGAACAAAATGAAAATATTATTTTTAAAAAACTGTTTATACAGTGTTCATAAATTGGCAGGCTTGGCAACTACTATTTCTAATAAAAAACGCGTCCAAGATGGAAGACTATGTCGCAACCCCCTTAGATATACGAGCCCTTTCCACTGACAGCTATAGTTTGACAGGTCGTTAAAATGCCTAATATTGTCAATGTGTCAAACTGTCAAAATTTTAATCTGACCTTAATTAGGCATTCCAACGACCTGTCCAAATGGCTACCAGTGGGTAATGACAGTTTAGATATGGCAACCCTGTTGTCATGTTGTCATTAACAGGGTCAATGATACATATATAGTTATATAGATTGCTCAAAGCTGGTCGTTTACGAGCGGCCATATTGTCTGGTAAATATTTATTAATTTGAATCGGTTTAGCAAAAATGTGTTTTAAAACCAATTTTTAGCCTTTAGGTATTTAAAAAAAATAATTGCTTATATGTTTACTTTAAGGCATAAGCTTATGTTTATTTTGAAAAATATGGATGAGCAATCTATGTAACTATCTATTTCATTGATCTTGTCAAATTACCAGGTCTACAGGGTTGCCATAATTTTGCCATATCATAACCCGTCAAAACCCACTGGTAGCCATTCAATTTGGAATGCCTAATATAAAGTAGTACTGACAGACTATCGTAAATTAGGCATTCCAAACAAAATGGGCATTGATCACGGTTCGTAGACTACTACGGTGGCCTTATCCCCGTTGCTACGGTCAAAGTGACGTCACCGAATGAAAAAGAGAATTGACAGAAAATATTCTGCTTAGGTATATACATTAATTTTTTTAAAATCTAATATTTTATTGTTATTTAGTGGTCTTTTATGTTTGGACTATTTTGTGGTGTTAGAGTTTTTATATTATCGGTAGTTTGATTTTTAAAATACAAGCTACGAAACAGCTAGGAAAAATGAGTCGCTCAGCGCCAGAGTGACCTATCTTCAAAAATGTACTTAAGGAAATGTTAGCATGCCAGGAACGAACTGTATACAATTTTTACAAACAAAAATCATCAAAAGAAAGGATATCGTTTTTTTCTTGCCCGAAAAGCGAACGACTACAAAAAATATGGGAGCATTGTAGTTTTAGAAAATGTCAAATCAGTGTTAAAACTATGAAAATATCAGTGTTCATTTTAAGGAAGAGGAATTTATAGATGACATTCGGACGCAGATCATGGGGATTGAACCCTAAAGTCAAATTAAAGGCTAATGGTATGATTTTAGAATATTATTTTGCAATTATCATTCACAATTAAATTAATTGTCCACCCTACATTTTAAAGCAGATATGGTTTCTTACGAATATAAAACACATTCAAGAGCAAAAAGAGAACGGACTTTAAAAAAGAACGTAAATAATTGAAAAAAGGGTAGAAAGTTTTTAGTAAGAATGAAATACAAATAATTTTAAAGACGAAAACAATGGTCTGTTCAACTTCAGAAATTTCTAAAGCATCCACGATAAAATATTTAAATAAAAGGTGCTATTTTTATCGCAGAAATACTCTTAAGTATCCCTTGTCTGGAATTTCGACTATACTAAAGCGGGCTACAAAAATAATGATGACATAGGATAGAGACAAAGGCGCTCCTTCGAGAAATTGAGAAACCGTTGCGCGCCAGCTGACTCACAGAGAAAGAATTTCGAGATGTTCTAGATATCCAAGAATCTTCTGGAACAGAGATGGTTTCCAAATCAAGAGGCTGCAACTGTTGCAGGCATGTTAATAAAAGAATGCATCAGTAGATTTGAAGTTCCCTTTGAGATCCACAGTGACCAAGGCAGAAATATTAAAAGCCAGCTTTTCCGAGGAATCTGTGACAGACTAGGCATGAAGAAAACCAGAATCACAGCATTGCACCCACAGCCGGATGGAATGGTAGAGCGAATGAATAAGACAATTGGCAAATACCTGTCAAAAGCGGTTTCCAATCATCAGCGAGATTGGGATCAGTATTTTTCGCTCTTCGCAATGGCATATAGATCCGCTGTTAATGAAACTACAAGCCAAACACCAGTGCTGTTCGGGAGTGAGATGAGACTACCGTGTGACCTCGAGTTTGGATGCTGACCTGGAGAAGACATAGCCGGTGAAGATTATGTGATCCGGCTGCGAAAAAAAAATGGACGACATGCATGAGTTAGTTTACTGGCATCTTCAAATCGCCAGCGACAGAATGAAGAAGCGATACGATACTCAAGCCACAGAAGGATGTTTCATTGAAGGCGACAAAGTTTGGCTCCATAACCCAAAAAGACAAAAGGGTTATTCTCCGAAGCTTCAAAGGTCTTATGATCCGGAACGGTAAACCGAAAGTTCACCAAAAGCGGATGGCGCCGTTTGAGGATGACTATGACGAGGAATAATTAAACCAGCTTTAAGTATCACCTGACCTTGTCTTTGAATAATTTATGGGTACATATGGAGGTAGGGGAAAAGCAAGCTATGGTGTTACAGCCGAGCAATAACAAGACTACTCGCTGGTCTACAGCACTTCGGCCAACATCAACGACGCTCGAGTTCTGGCATCTGTGTTCCAGAAGTTTGGTCGATTGCCAGAACTTCAAGATCAGTTACCAGCCCCTGGAAAACCATTCAACACAGAGGAAGAATTCCCAGATATTCTAGACCGCCGAGAATCTACTACAGCAGAGCTGGCTTTATTTAAATAGCGCGATTTTGTGGGTATACGTTACTTTTTAATATAAATGTTGTATAGTAAAGATAAATTGTAATAGATAACATAGAATCATGAGTTATAAAAGTGCCTAAGTATTAAATAAATTATAAATAAAGAGAGAATTGCAGATAATAACAGCAATTCGAGGCAATATCACAAAGCACCCTAATTTTGGGGGGTCGTGAGCTTTTTTGTTTGAACGCCCTCATAATATAATCAAATTAAAATAATTATTTTAAAATATTAGGTAATAAACTATGTTTATGTAAGTACTTCATTACTTATGTATTTATATCACCTATTTAAACCATTTGAAAAATTTGAAATTGGTAATGTTGCTTTTAACAATACGTCGGCATCGGTTTGACAACAAAACTACAAATAATTAACAATATTATCAATATTATTTTAATTATTGATTGAATTTAATTTAAAATATTTTCTTCGGACTTTTAGGCAGAGGGGACTCCCGGATGATTGTGTCTTGACACGGGGCCTCAGGCCTTGTTACCCTACTGAATATCAGTATTGTCATTTAATGAAATAAATGTACGAATTTTACCAAAAAAAAACAAACATTTTATTTAATGTAATGTTAAAATCTCTTCTGTGTATTGTATATTTAATTATTTTAACACTATTTTTAATAATAATAGTGATAATAATTATCAACTGCGTTAGTCTGTCAGACATTTTAAAAATTGATATCAATATGTATCTATATTAACCACTATTTTAGTTATGTATCTTTTTTAATTTATTTACAATAGATAATAAAAAAAACCTTTTTCTGTAATTGGGTACCTATTTATAGATAATTATATAATAAAATTGGATTGTCCTGTTCTTGTTTTTTAAGTATATACTGTTCATACTTAACATCAAATTACTAAGAACTGACAAAATGTACTTTTATTATTGCTGATATAAATATATATTTTATGTTCATTCTGAAGTCCAATAGTCCCTTGTTTTCTACTTAAAATTTATTTATAAATCATTTTACTAAAAACTTCCTGTACAAACCCCTTTTTTCAATAATGTACGTACTTCTGTAGCTTATCGTTCAACAAATCTAAAAGAGTCCAAAAATCTAAACACAACTAAACTAAATAATAAAATATAATATTAAAAAAAAAATTAATTTACGAACCTCAGTATAATACTTTTTGTCGCCTCACTTTTTATTTAAGTGACGTCACAACCTTTCTCTTCAACGGGATGAAGCCACCGTAGTAGTTTAAGAACTCTGCCATCATAAGCAAAACCCCAGTAACTACGCAAACTATAGAATGGAGATATTTGCAATAAATGAAATTGTTAGTGCCAGCATTTTCATCCGTGGTACCAATATAGCTGCATTTGTTGAATCAAAGACAATTTTTGGATAATGCTTTGAACTAGCTAAAAATAGTTTTAATTTGTTTTTGTGTTGGCTAGTGTTTTAAAATGTTTTTGCTATAAAAGTGTTATGGTGTAGAATCAAGTTGACTTTTTAGGACATATAATAAATATTACATTTTGCTTACTTTTTAAGAAGAAAGAAGCTTTAGTATCAAAGAACTGTGGATCAGCCTTAATAAACCTTCTGCTACTTCTTAAACCTACTACGATTGACATTTATTTTCATAAATAAAATTTTACTTACCGTTTACTGGACTTTCTCGAATACCAGTACCTTGTCGAGACGAATTTATACAATACCATACTGTTTGACATCACTTTGTTTTATTATGTTTATTAGGCATTTTTTTCGTTGTTGTTTTTCGATTCTAGCGGAATTTAGCGTAACAAATAAACCGGCAGCGGTGACAAACAAAAAAATCGTTTTATCGAAAAACATTTATAGGCGTTGTCTATATCACGGTCTGGAAATAATTAAAATTTTCGTTATTTCTGGTGCACTATTAGGGATAACACCGCATAATTTTAACAGGCGATTAAGGTTAGAAAATGTAGTAAAAATCATTATATACTTATGTCCTAAAGATTGGGGTTAAGGATAATAACGCGTCTGGACTATCAGATTTTTGGCCGTAGTGGTTTTGAAGAAATTTCTGCTTTTTTTTCAAAAACTACAATAATTAAACATTAGGAAAAAATATAGAGGAAGGAACCTAATATGAGATAGGATCCTATTATGAGATACCCATCTAGCGACAAGTGCTGAAACTAATTCATCAGAACGTCAAATGAGAGATTTTTGTGCTGAAAAGGTGAGGAAATAAAAAAGTATTACTTATTTGTTTTGTTGTATGGAAGTTGCTTTATTGTTTAAATATATAAAACGTGTGAAAACTAAACTAAGTTTTGAAAAAATATATATAAATTATTTTTACATAAGGTTCCTAATATGAGATACAACGAAGTTCCTAATATAAGGTATCTCATATTAGGAGAACATCTTATTTCTTAATAATTCATGAACATTTGTTACAGATGCCTAGAGACAATAAAAAAAGAAAGCAATGGGATAAAAATGCCATGATAAGGGCTGTTAAGGCAGTAAGAAACAAGGAGATGGGTACCTTATGGCCACGAAAACGTTCAATGTTCCGAAAGGTAAGCTTACCTATTTTATCGGTTTAGCTTTTTTTACCAATTTTTTTAATTTTTAGGAACCATTGAACGATATGCAAAAGACAACAGGAAAGCAGAGGACCTCGTAAAAATATCTTTGGGTAGGAAACAAGTTTTACCTGAATTTCTGAAGAATCAGTTAGCAGACTACTGCATTGAAATGAAAAAAAAGTATTATGGTCTTCGAAGGAGAGACGTCAAATATATGGCGTTTCAGTTAGCAATTAGAAATGGTTTAAAGCATCCACAAGAAAGAATTGATATTGAAAATGAAGGAGATATACCAGCAGATATTTCAAGTAAGGATAAACATATTTCAAACATGTCATCAGATTTAGTTGTGGATCTCCCTGCAGAGTCCGAAAAAGCTATGGTACTTCCATCAACATCATCATGTTCTGCCAACATCAATAGGTCAGATAAAAGTGATAAACTTTTGCTAGTCTCTCCAAAAGAAGTTTGTCCAGTGCCGCCAACCTCTTCAAATTATGGTGCCAATTCTAATAAAAGAAAAGGCAAAGCAAGCTTAATAACATCTACTCCCTATAAAAAAAAACTTTGAAGAATCCATTACCAAGTAACTAAAAAAAAAATAAAATCTTCGAAAACAATAGATAAAAAATCCAAAGCTAAAAATACCAAAAAGGCTGAAATTACATCGAGCAGCTCAGATTCAGAAGTATCTGTGCATTATGATGACTCGACTGATGAGGATTACAATTATGCTGAGTGTCGGTTTTCCAAGAAAGATTTTCCGAAGACACTCGTGGAGAAAAGTGGTCTAGATGTATCGTTTGTTTTCAGTGGTGTCACGAAGATTGCGGCGAACTTGATGGCACACAATTTGTTTGACCTGTGTGCGAAAAAATAATAGGAAAAACAAAGCTTTTGTTCGATTAGATTTTAGTGTTGTTACACTTTTGATCATCCTTTCGATTACATTTAAAATAAAGCAATAATTTTCTTTCAGTCCCTCTTTTTATTCATTATTTATTTATTTAGTCCCAGTCTTTTATTAGGAACATTACCCTATCTCATATTAGGAGACCAATTTTGAAAATAACAAAAAGTGATTTTTTTTTTTAGTTATTACCACTTATTACAAAAATAAGATGTGAAGTATACACAACAATCTACCGTTTAGAAATAAAACAACTTTTGAAAGTTACACAGGTGTCTCATATTAGGTTCCTTTCCTCTAATTTTATGAAAATGCAGAGTAAACAACGAATTGTGGAAGAATTTAGGAATAGATTCCAGAATCCAAAGGGTAATAACAAACTAAAGAAAAACTGGAAAATTTGCTTAAAAAAAATTCGCTCCGTCCATGGCTCGAACCTGCGGACTTTGGGTTGCCCTCCCAACATCTTAACCTCTAGACCACTGGAGCGTTATACACCCAGTGACCTAATTGTTATTATGATTTCAAGATTCGACTCCACCTCGGTTTATCGAATTGGTAGATAACCCTGTTTTTTACAAACGGTTTTTCAGGGAAATACAGACATAATTAAATTCTCACAAAAACCCAATACTATCCCATTACCGATCTAGTAAGTAGCCAATATTAGCTTATAATGTTGTTTTACGACAAGGAGAAGCTAGAACATTCAAAATATTAAGTAATCACTTATTATGTGCACGGCTTGGACATCGGCCATGGTCCCACTACGTGGATCAAACAGAAGAGAATACTTCACACTGCTGAGAAGAAATCCTTTTGTTATTATTTTAATGTACATAGTATGTATTACAAAAAAAAATTGTATATAATGTAAATAAAGGACTTTTGAAACGAACGAATTGGTAGATGGTTTCCATTTTTAATTCTGTAACCTTCTTTCTTGCGTGGCCACCGCAGTCACCAGACTTAAATCATTATGATTTAATATTTTCTTATATTTTAGTTTTTTTGAAAAAGTTATCTGAAAACGTTTATTTTATTAATTTAGATATATTATCGCCACAGTTACATTTTACTAAGATACTAATATTTTGATCTAAATAACCTAATATCGCATTAGTTACGTTATATCCTTGTTTCATCCTAACCCAGCTGTTAAAATTATTCGGACGTTATCCCTAATATCCTGCATGTTGTAAAATATACGTTCATTCGTCCTTTATTGCTCGCTCGAAAAATAATTTACATTTTTACGTTGGGAAATCCTCCAAAAAAAAAAAACGAATTTCAACATTGCAAATTATTTTGCGCAATATTTAAACCGGGCCATAAAACGGACCTGTAACGTATAAAATAGCGATAAAAACGAAAATAAACATGGTTCGCAAAAGCTTTATTTTGCAAGGATCTCTAATAGTTTTTTTTTTGTTTCATCTATAAAATCTTCCAGTACGTGTTCTCTATACGCTATAGCACGAGAACAGAATTGCAAAGTTTATAACAGGAAAATCTTTTTTTAAAATGTGATTATCTAATGTTCGCCGACGATATGAAATTGTCCATAAAAGATGCTGCATTTTTATAGAAAAGCTCGGAGCACTTTGTTGAGTGGACTGAAATGAAGAAGTTTTCCATGAACATAAATAAATGAAGGGCTTATTGGAATAATATGATAAGCTATAACATTAATTTATTAAGGACACATCTTCAAAGGTTAAAATAAACTTCTATAACTACTACAACTTTTGTTAAAATGCAATAACTTGATTTTTTGGCTAATTATGATATTTGTTGGAGAATTTCCATTTGGTTCAAGCTTTTGTAACCTTATTTTTTATTGCCGTGAAGTAAAAATGGCTTTATTTTAAAAAGTGTGGCTTATCATGTTTTTACAATAAGCCCTTCAAATGTAAAAAAGCTTTTTTAGAACGTAAATGAGTAGTGTGAAAAAATACGCTCGTTATAATTTCATATCGAATACAGATAATCAATAATGTCAATAGTCGTTTTCTTTTTACAAGCATTCTTGACTAACTAAAAGTTAGATTCTGATCTAAGCTTAACAGTAAAAAGAACGCGAATTTTGGTTGACAGGTGACGTGCCCCATGTCATCCGTTTAAAAACAATCCATATTTTAATCAAATTTTATAATTTTTTCAACATTCAACACTACAAATCTCACCCCCTGTTATCATAGTCTTTTATTCTCTAAAATAATGAATTCATGGGATATGTTTGTTCATATGACGCACAGAACACTCACTTTCTGTGATGGTTTATGGTTGTCGTCAAGTACCATGCACCTTAGCATCGGTAAGGGGGGAAGAAAGATTCTGACTTACAATCACAAAAAGAACGTACAACTAAGCCTAGACGATCTAAGTTAGCTCAGATTAGTGGTAAAAAGAAAGCGACTAATATCACGAATGAAAATCGGGCTCAGATCAATGACATAAATAATTTATATAGACTGCTCATCCATACGTAAATAAAATGATGAAAAGCGGGTCGAACTGGGAGATGTTTCCTCTTTGTCTAGTATATACAATGTTTGTGTTTTGTCTCAATTCTGAGTACTTACTGGTAAACAAATCTTTCACAGGACCGGTTTAGAAGAAAGTTTAGTCTAGTTGAGATTTTGTCATTGTCATTGCTCAGTCGAACATTTTGTTGAATTGTTTATTTTATTAAGTTTTAATTATACTTGTGTTATATTTTAAGTTTTTTTAATTAATTGAATATAAAAACTTGTTCTGTTTTTGAATTTAAATGGTGAATTGCTCTATAAAGGGTTGTAAGACCAGTTACAAAAATATAAAAGTAACAATTAATTTTTCACGTAAGTATCAATACAAGTAGGTACAAGGTAAATACGTTTATAATTCTTTATTTTAAATAGGTATAATTTTCAAAGGCCCGAGTTAGATCTATCTGGGCTTGACAAGTAGATTTTAAAAGTTAGTTAACTTAATATAAATAGAACAAAAACGGGCATAAGTAACAATACAGAGACACACTGATTTACGTTTTCATTCTTCGAAGAAACCATATCAAATATCAATTTTCTGAGTCATCTTTTACATGCAACCATGGTTAGATAGTTCATACTGTCAGGTAGTTTATTACATAGCTTTATCCCTTCAGATATTATAGTATATAGTTCTTTTTCATGCTAGCTGTTTTCATTACAGCCGCTCTGATGTTCCTCACATTGTAGTCTTATTCACTGAAATGAATTGAAGGTTGCAGTGTGGGTTGTATTGGGTTTGCAGTTGTGGATGTAGAGACGATTGAAAAGATTTTTATATTACATAAATTTATTTCAACCACGAACTACTAACAAGTTGAATATTTTCCGGATTTTAAGTTTTATTTTAAATATCTTAATATTGAATGAGCTGACATGTTTTTAAGATTTGACGATTTAAATCAAACAAAATACTTACATACCTAAAGAGAATATATAAAAAAAATAGATGTAATTTTTCCATTTTTTTGCAAACTTTAGTAATCCAAAATGTTCCTATATAATTTTGATGTACACATTCATCTTAAATTTTTCTTGAGTATTGCCGTTTAACAGAAGGAACTGCGATAGTTTTATAAAGAGCTAGTACACTCTATTTACGTCGACAGATGAAATATGTCTGACAAAAAGGATTATATCCTTAAAGAACTATCATCAGTAGTCATATCAAAAACTTTGACTGGTTTTCTATGTGAACTCTAGCTCTGGCAATTTTGGCATTTAGTAAAGCCTCTTGATGGCTGAATTGATTTTTTTTTTCTTGAAAAAAGGAGGCTGTATAATTTGTATACCTTTACCTTCTGTTATTTTTCCCATAAGAAAGCCTTTGTCAACCATTATACTATCGAGAAATGATTCACATAGTTCAAGTATTGAACTTTGTGTAAAACATTTCTTTATCTGAAGTTCTATCACCATATGCTTTACTTATGTAAGTAATAAGACCAGCAAGTGACACTCCAGTCATTATTTTAATAGTATGTCTCTTTTTGTACTGATAGTAACTTTTTAGCCTACAGCAAAGACATTTGGCTTGCTGTAGTGGGATTACAATCAAATAGTACTCTTACTTACATAGAGGCACATTATTTAATATTTCTTGTTTTGAAAGCCAAAATTTACCATACTGAAGAACTTTTGCCAGTTTTATTTGTTGGAATACATTCGTGATTATTTATTGTTTATACCCTGTATATTATATTTTTGAGTTAGTTGTCAGTTTTTAAATGAAATAAAAAATATTGTCTGTCTGTAAAAATTTTAAAAATTTTTAATTCTCCTGCACATCTCATATAAGGATAAATAAGACCTTAAATTCTAATATTATTAAACACTCCTGAAAAAGTTTCATTAACTCCAAATAAAATGGATAAGACATTATATATCGCATACCAGTTTTCAACTTCATAAAAATAAATATAACTTGATCCTTTACAGACTCTTTTTCCTATACTTTAGAAAAAAACTCTGTCACTAATTTCACAATTTCACTAATAAGTGGAAGGATTGCAATCCTGTTAAAGTAGATAGTTCTTTAGCACTAACAATTCTATTTGAAAACGGATCAACTAAATCACCACTCTTCACTTGTGTTGAACAATCGAGCTCAATTTTCTGCTTTAGAACAAAGCTTTGTAAATTAAGCAAAGCTTTTCAGCAGCATACAAATCTTCATTATCTGCTTCAGTAATAGAAATATGTTCATTAACGGCAACACATTAAACGTATAACAATTAACCAAACATTTTAAATTATGCATACGTACATCAATTGCCTGAAGAAGATAACTCAACACTTGACATTCTACTAGTACTGGCAACATATCATTATTATTGACAGTAAGCATAACTCTTGTTTCTGCTGGGTTTCTTTTCTTTTTATTAATAGTCGCTTTCTTTTTACCACTAATCTGATCTAACTTACATCGACTAAGCTTAATTGTACCAGAATCTTTCTGCCCCCTTACCAATGCTAAGGTACACGGATCTTGACGTCGATTAATAAGATTGCGCTTTGTAGTAGATTTTATTATGATGTTGATCAGATTTCCACTGGTAAAAGCTTATTATTTAGGTGCTGGAAATACTCCTTTAGTTTTATTTTTAATTCATCAAATCATTCACATTCACCGCCAAAATAATCCCTAAAGAGAACAAATTTAGAATTAAAAAAAGCTGCTTACTTTTAGTAAAATCTTTAAAAATCTCATTCAATTTTTGCACACAAGTGTCCAAATAGTGCCATTATACATAAAGTGGTCGTGGTCTAAAGTTAGTTACATACAAAGGAGTGTAAATCTATATTCAAAATTGGTTAATCTCTTAAAATGTTTTCAAAATATGGAAACTGGACTGCACGACTCAAACAAATATATATTCTTTTTCAAAATAGCTCCTGTCTTGAAGTAAACATTCAGGTAATTGTTTTTTTTTTTTAATTCAATTTCCTACTTTGATGAAATATGCGTTTTAAACTCATTTGGGCCAGACCAACTGTGCATGGTGAGCACTCGGCAAGGTAATATGAACGACTGCAATATAACCCGCTTTTTGTCTTCTTGTTTATATATGGATGAGCAGTCTATTAAACTATATATGTCATTGGATCAGATTAGACCCTTTGGAACCCCCAAATATATCAGTAAATTCGATCAATTTGAACTTTGAACCCTTTGAACATAAATTCTGTCCAGTTTTCTACCTGATAAAGGAGATTATTACCTAAACTTTACGATCTTGCTCAGGATTTTAATTATTACTCTACTGCCTCAAACATCTGTCTTCACCGTTTTTTTTTTTTTATAAAAATAAAAACGTCGAAAACTCAAATTTCAAATGACATACCTCATGTAATTCTAACAAAAACCAACCTATCTAATAAAGCAGTAAAATTTAATTTCTGCATAACAAAGAAACATTTGTAATCCAATTAGCATCATGACTTTATTACTGGCTGTGCACCAGGCAGAAATAGGAAATGGGGAATAATTAAAGAGTAACTTAAATGGATATGCGTGGTTACTTAACTTGCTAATTTATGGATGTTATTAGGGCGTACGACATTTAAATGGGAAATCGATTTTAATTCATAGCTAGAAGTTTTGCAGCTCCGAGGTTTTATAAATAATTCACGTGCTAAGGGTCTTTGCGGATAAAAAAAGTACCCTACACTGATTTTATGCGATTTGGTTCGATTTTATAGGTGAAAAGTTGTAAAATCAGTACACAATTTATAAGAGCTGTATTTTAATTTCACCAAATATATTGTAAAAAGAAAAATATTTTTTATAAAAATAAAAAAGATTAATTGAACAAGATAATGGTAATTTTTTTCTAAATATTGATTTCATTTTTATAGTTTTGCAGTCTTAATCATCGTCATCAATTTTTGTCCGTTTTACTACTGTTTTGCTGTTATTAGAACACGAAACAACGGCTGATATCGTTTATAAATAAACTAAATAAAATTGGTCAGAGATGTGACCTTTGAGACCTTCGTTTATATTCACTAGTTCCACAAAATAAGACTTCTTCCCCTATTTCTCCCCCCTACTTTTCCTTTAGAATTTATTGGTTATTTCTAGAAATTTGGGTGTTCACAGGTATTCTTCGAATATTCTTTGGACAAGTATTATATCGGCATTCCAGGTATTTTCTGGATATTCTTAGTTATTTCCAGGTATTCTCTGGCGATTTTTAGGTATTCTCTGGTGATTTTTAGGTATTCTCTGGAGATTTTTAGATATTCTCTGGGGATTTTTAGGTATTCCCAGGTATTATCTAGATATTTCCACATATTCTTTATGTTAGCTATTCTTGTGTACACAATTTTTTTGGATGCTTTTACTCCTCGGTCCAAATTCAACATTTTTACAAGAGAAATAAGATATCGCTTTATATTTTAAGTAACTAATCCTTGTATAAATCTTGTAAATTATTCCGTTAAGGAAGTACAGGGTGATGTTCAAAATTTGTCTTGATCAATTATCTGAAATAATTTCCGTATTTTAATTATCAATAAATGAAAAACAAAACAATATGAACATCTGTGACGATAAAATCCAGTGACGTACCGATAATTTTTTTAATGGGTCAAACTTTCAAAATTGGAGATTCAGTAATAATTGTCGATTTATACAATTGAAACAAAATAAATGTTATTAAAAATAAATATTTATAAAAAAATTATAAAACAATTATAATAATTGTTTGGATTTGTAGTATACGTATTGTGATGTTTGTTTATTTTCAAACAACAGTTTATTTATTAATAATTTATTTAAACACTTATTTATTTTATAACACAACTATTTCTAATTTATATATATTTCTAATGTCTTTGAATCGTTCACTATTTATATTCACAGTCCAATACTTTATTGTCAGCTGTCTATATATCACTGATTACTATTTATATTCACTGTCCATATAACAACTGACCCTGATGGCTCATCCACCAATATTTATATACAAATTTCTAAAATTTGGTGGAGTCGAGAAGTTTCTCCACCAAACTAGAAATATTTCGAACAGTCCAGAAATATTATCTCGTCCTTTCTCGAACATCATCGAAATCACCTCCGCCATAGTCGTCCCATAGGTTTGGTCTTAAGGGGTTTAATTATGTATAATAATCAGACAAATTGAGCCTTAAAGGCCAAATAAGACAGAGAGGAACTTGTAGGGTTAGAGCATGACTGAATAATGAAATGGCTCACATAACAGTATTCAATCAATTTTATTGTCTTCAAAACAATAGTAATAGTAATATTTACAGCACTTTTTAAAAAAAAAATTAACCATTATATGGGTGTCGTACAAAAAATGTTTTAAATCGTACAGAAAAAAAATCCGGATACCCTTTTGAAAAACTAGATCGTATTCATTTTTACCTAAATTTTTATGTAACCATAATTTTTATCCGAATTTCAATATATGCAATAAATATAAGAATATTATAGTCAAATAGTATGGAATCGTCTTCGTGAAAGTACCTACATGAGAAAAGTCAAATAGTGCACTCAACAAAATTGTATTCTGGGTTAACTCCAAATATCTTATTTTTGCTTGCTTTTTGCCATTTCAAAACCGTGTACTATCGATTTAAAATTTGAAACACGTGTAAATAAAAGACGCGGAAAATGAGACGAACATTGTACACAGCAACGTTCTAGAATAAGAAATAGATTTTTCTTTTAAAGGGGTAGAATCTCAATGTTTTAAAATATATTCAGAATCTTAAGAGGAAAGGTAGTTTAGTAGGCATAAACATTACAATTTAAGGGTTGGAGCCTAAATGCTATAAAATTACTTCCGAAACTAAACAAAATCAGCATTCATTCATAATTTTAACAATTCCATGTAGATATTCTGAATTCGTACAGTGTCGTACAAGATCTTTTAAAATCTGCAAAAATATACAGGGTGTCCCCTTTAAATTAAAAAAGTTGAGGGTATTTCCGGTGAAACCGGGAGTAAGTACCTACAGTAGTAACAAAAAATATGGCATCAGATGCGTTATGCGTCATTGTACTTGCCTGCAAAGTTTCATAAATATCGTCCTTTTCGTTTTAAAGATATTTACTTAGTTCCATACTTTATCCCAACCCTGTATTTTCATGCATTAAACGATTTTTTACAAATATGATTATTTTACAAAAACTTTTTTTTAGGTTTAAAAATGGTTTATGTCCCGATAGAGGCTAGAAAAATTATGACAACCCTGGGCATATTGCATAAAAAAATTTTGAATTTTATTTTGCATCTTTTCTTGACAAAAGCTGTCATTATGAGGAATTTTCTCCACTTTTTTTCCTGGAGGAGTCCAAATACACAAAATGCAAAAATCCATTCGTGTAATGTGCAGCTAGCCCTGAATTTGAAAATACCATTGAATGCCGGTGGTAAGAAAAAATACTTGTAAAATCGTCTACATTTTTGTGGCAAATGATCATATGTCGTATGCGTTTTATTTGTACATCGGTCTTCTTTTGACAGTAGATGAGCTGTGTGCAGGCCGTTGGTGTTTATGCCGGTCGGCGTAGCCAGGTATGGATTGAAATTTTATGGTGGCGGCGAAGCCGCCACCCTACGAGAAGTCGTTGCTTCGTCTTCTTGTTGTCACGGCATTATTATTAATTGTTCATGTATGTGAAATTTGCTTCTAAGGTTTATAAAATACTACTGCTAGCCACGGCGTAAATGAAAACAAACAAGACGCATTCACACAAATACCTCCCACCACAACAATTACATTAGTGTTGTCCCCATACGCGAGTTTTTTCCGGCGGCCTTTGTTTCAAATACAGTAGACCGTCGTTCGGCGGCCTTATCAATACTCTGATAGTCTGCCGCCCTCATCAACAAATCAGTTTAGATTTTCGGCGGCTTTCGTATATGTGAGAAGACCATGCCGCCGGAAGACGGTTTTCGTTTTATTAAATTCAACTACCGCCGGTGGTCGGCTAGCCAGTACGAAAAACATAAGATTTTTTAAAGAAGACATTTCGTTTTTTTACAAATATTTCCAAATTTTGAAGAAATGACACGTTTTCGTCTTTCATTGTGCCACAATGCAGAATCAGCTTGTGTTACATTCGTTAAGTGGCGCATCCAGAGTTTAAGTCTGATGGGTAGTTGTAATCATGGCCGCCGAGCCGGGGCATTTTTATAAAATTAGGTCTTCTTTGTGAAATTTCTAAAAAAAAAAAAATTCGTAAACCAGGTCCTCCTTACGAGCTTTTAAAAAAAAAGGTCTTGTCTCTTCAAAACATCCTACAGCTACCCCCCTGCCCCTCCCTCTCGTCGGGCCTAGTGGTAATAAAGTTTAAGTCTAGGGGGATAGTGGTACTATTTGACTTTATTTTTGATAATAGTACGTTTTAGTAGCTATAAAAAGTTTGGTTTAAAAATGCTTGGGGATAATTACCCCCATTACCCTCCCATATATGCGTCCCTGTATTCGTTTTTTCTCATCTATAGACATTGGCAAACTTTTTAGAAAATCTTCTTTTGCAACGCGTACGAAAGAGTGCGACAGATCAAAGCCATGGACGAAAGCAAGAAAAATGATTTACTTAGTTCGAAAAAATATACATTACTTTAACAGATTAAAGAGTTGTTAACATGGTGGAATTAATTGTTCTTAACTCAAAGATGTATTCATTAAAAAAAAACTGCCGTACAATATTAAAGTTAATTTATAATTCACATCTCACTGTATACATTTTAATTTCGACTATATTTTGTTAATAAATCAATTATAAAATTAATTTAAAATAATTGAGCGACATTACTATATGTAAAAAATAACAAAGTGTACAGACATAAAACAAAAATTCAAATCACTTGCGTACTGTTTATCACTTGTAAATAGTAGGAAAGGATATACATTTTGTTGGTGTCACCCAAGAGACCAGCCATACTCAACCTGCGGCCTGCGGGCCGAATGCGGCCCTCCAAGCTTTTTTGTGTAGCCCCAAACACTATTATTAGGAAGGTGCTTTTTAAAACTATTGGTTTTTGTTTTTAAAATTTTGAGCCAAATGTGCCAAAACATTAAGCCAGGCCTGCACAACATTACGGCCTCGGGCCGCATGCGGCCCATCATGGTCATTTTGTGGCTATTTAGTCGCTGACCAGGTTGGCCAGCCGACGTCAAAATAAACTATTATACATTTTAGACATTAATTGTTTGTTGCTCGATAGCTGATTACCTTTTTTAGAATGGCTCAGGCCTCTCTTGGTGGTCCTCCGTACACTGTACACTTACGATTTTTGAACTGGCCCTTTGAAAATCTGAGTTGTGCAGGCCTACATTAATCGATAAATAACTAAAATAACATGAGGACTTTTTTTTAGAAAATATTTAAATCGGATCCTTATCGTCACCCATTGTCCTTTATTTACATCTCAAAAAGGTGGCAACTCTAGTTGTCACCCAAAAATATTGCGGCCCGTGTAGCATAACAAACAGATTTATGTGACCCGAAAGAAAAAAGGTTGAGTACAGGTGCTCTAGACAAAAAAGCTTTGAACGTATTTGTTTTTGTTGTAAGAAAAATAAATGATTCTGTAGGTAAAAATTAAATATATATTTTTATGTATGAGAGAGTAATAAAACAGCATTTCTAATGCAAAACTTAGTACGGTCATTTTAAATATTTTTACAGAATAATCTAAATATTTCCTAAAATTGTAATAAATGTACCTATTACAAGCATTTGGTCTTTTATTGGTCTTTTATAAACATAAGCTATACAGAATAATAGAAAAAGGTTTGGACAGGCCAAAAGCCCTGTGTATTAAAGATTACATAGCCGTATCTAAAGGTTATTTTCAATAAGTACCTATTTGCCAATTTTGTTTAATTTTAATTCCAAAAATTTCTTACAGTAATCGAATTATAAGTAGATAAATACCTTCCCAACAAATTTCACCGAAAATGCGATTATAGGTTTTCCATTTAGTAAGGAGGTCCAAGTTGTGTATTCTTGACAGTTTACTAAATGTCGTTTAGTTGCAACTTGCAAGGTGCAGTGTGAGTGAATTTGGAAGGGCCGCGTAAACGACAAAAAATCGGTCCTTTAACAGTTAATAAAAAAAACATTAATATTTAATTGTTTTAAATCATTTACAGACAAACATTTATGTAAAAGTGTTGATGACACACTGGAATTAGTTAGTAGTACGCTTGGTGTTGGGAAATCTACGATTTACAGAGTTGTTAAAGAAGAGAAATGTGGCGAGTTTCAAACAGGACGTAAAGCTCTAGGAAAACCAAAATTTCAATTAGAAAATCTTTTGAAAGAAAGACGTCGAAGGAAAGTGCATGCGTTCTTCTTTAGAAAAGAATTTCCGACAGTAGACAAAGTTCTTGCCACGGTTCGAGATGATAAGGATTACCCTGAAATGAGTCGAAGCACACTATGGAAACTTTTAAAAGAAATAGGTTTTCTATGGAAAAAGCATTCCAGAAAGTCTATTTTAATAGAAAGAAGCGATATTGTAGTATGGAGAAGAAATTACCTAAGGACTATAGAAGAAATGAGAAACCAAAGAAGAAATATATTTTATTTAGATGAAACATGGATCAACGAGGGACATAAACCAAATAAATTTTGGCAAGATGAAACTGTTACAAGTCGAAGACAGGCTTATTTAAATAATTTATCTACTGGTATAAATCTACCATCAGGAAAGGGGCGCAGACTAATAATAGTACACATCGGTAGTTCAAACTGTTTTGTTAAAGGTGGTTTATTGACTTTTGAATCTACTCGTACCGGTGACTACCATGAGGACATGAATGCTGATGTCTTTAAAGAGTGATTCGAACAAATTATAGATCTTCTTCCTCAGAACTGTATAATAGTAATGGATAATGCAAGTTATCAATCGAGACTTATAGAAAAAATGCCCACAACCAAGTGGTTAAAAATTTTTTTACAGAATTGGCTAAATTCAAAGAATATTAAGTTCCATCCCGGTTCTGTGAGAAAAGAACTGTATCATTTGTGTTCCCTTCATAAAGAGAAATTCAAAAAATATGAAATTGATGAAATTGCAAAAAATCGTGGGATGACGGTGGTTAGATCACCACCATATCATTGCGAAGTAAACCCGATTGAACTGATATGGGCACAGATAAAGGGAGAAGTTTCAAGAAAAAATAATTCTTTTAAAATGAGTGATGTTAAATAGTTGTTTTTGGAGGCTGTAAATAATGTGAAGCCTGAAAACTGGGAAAAGGCAGTAAATCATACGATTAAAGAAGAAGAGAAAATGTGGAAGTTGGACAATATTACTGATGAAATGATCGAGCCACTCATTGTAAATATTGGTTGCGACAGTTCATCTTCTGATTTCGATTCCGATTTGGATTTGTAGGTAAGAAGTAGTTTTTATATTAAAATTATTATTTATGAACGTAACGTTGTTTAAAAGTCAAAGTTTAAACCCTTATACCTACATAACCCGTTTGACACAATGTTCTTAACATACCTTGTGGAAAAATAAAACGTTTTAGAAAAAATTGCACTTTTTTACCTTTAGCTGTTTAGAAGTTATAAGCAGGTTAATTAGGTGAAAATATAAGTGTATACTCGAGGAATAACTTCAAAAAATATTTTAACTGTCTACTAAAAGAAGTGCTACGCCTATGGATTACGAATGCTTCATTATTTTAATACTCTCTCATACATAAAAATAGACTATAGCATTTTTATTTGTATTTCTTTTCGTTAGAAAGACATCAATATAGATATTTTTGAAAAGAAACCGATTCAAAACTTCAAAAAGTGACTCCAGAGGGGTACCTTTATCTGTACTTAATAATTTTTCTTGTAGATAAAGCAAAAAATAATCCGTTAAATTGGTGTACTATGAAACCCTTGCATATTTTATGTGGATCTTAGTATTACAGAAATGATTTAGTTACGTAAAACAATAAGGTGTTCAAATACGTAAAATTTATTTATCCCTCGTAAAATATCACTAAAGTATATTATAAATTGTTTTCAAATATTAATTTCTTAAAAATCTAACAAAGGCGCCACTTTCCTGGCGAAAAATCATGCAATGTTTCGTAGTACCCCACTTTTAAAGTTTATTATTGACTATTTTTAAAAGAAAAAAAATATGTACGTGTAGTTAAAGGTTAAGTCTATGCTCCTCTGGAACCACTTTTTCAAAATTCAATTTAATTATTTCTAAAAAAAATGAGAAAATGAGCAAAAAAAGTCGAGTTTTTTTTTTTTTTAGAAAAAATAGATTCAAATTTTGAAAAAGTATTTCCAGGGGAGCACAGATTTAACCTTTACCTACACGCACATATTATTTATTTTCTTTCAGAATAATAAGTCAAAAATAAACTTTAAAAGTGGGGTACTACGAAACCCTTGCATGCTTTGCTTTAAAGCCAAGTAAATACTCCTCTTAACAAAATATAAAATGTAATACTTATCCACTGTTTTATCACTTATTACAGTCCTCCCATTTTTTAATTACTCCGAACATCTAATGTATACTGTGTGCACGTAGAAAACAAATATGTGGGTTCGAACCCCTCCGCAAAACAAAGGTTTTTTTCAATTTTTCACTGTGTGGGGTTCAAAAATAATTTTAAAAATTTAGTAGGGGTGTTTCTAAATTCATGCGACAAAATTCAGGAGGTGATTGCTCGTATGAAATTAAGATGGGTCTTTCCTATAACAAAATTTCCTCAGCCCATCCCTTTCTAAAATTTCAGTAAAGCTAGAAACTTGAAATACTGTAATTTTCGTGCACTCGCAAAGGACTAACCACGGGTATTTTTTTAATATTCCTGTTACATTATAGGGGAGTGAAATTAGCAACCTTTACTTTATTTCATATCAAAACTTTTTTTATGAAATAAAATTATAACTTGAAATCCTTGTTTTATTTAAAAAAAAAAATTTATTCTTAAATTTTTTTTTCCAAAACCAATAGCTTAATTTATAACACACCATAATTTATATTTTTTTTAATAAATTGAGTGGAAAACAGTAAAGATGTAAAATGTAATACGATTCATAATATTGAAAAAATACTCGTGGTTAGTCCTTTGCGAGTGCACGAAAATTACAAAATTTCAAGTTTCTAGCTTTACTGAAATTTTAGAAAAAAAATAAAAACTCAATTTTAGTCACCACCTTTTAAGGGTGATATTTCGGAAAGGAGTGGGCTGAGGAAATTTTGTTATAGAAAAGACCCATCTTAATTTCATACGAGCAATCACCTCCTGAATTTTGTCGCATGAATTTAGAAACACCCTGTATATCTTATTAATTGTTCCAATGAAATTCGCGATGACATTGGCTCAAAAACGATTAAACAAATAATTATTTCTAAAATAAAAAAAAACTCCTTGAAAATTAATCCAAATGCGACCTTGCAATTTTAATTTACAGATTTACACCTACGTACCTATAACTAAACTATACACATTTTTTTTACGTGCAAAAGAAAGTTATATCATATCACAACAAATATTAGCAACGGCGAAATGTAAATAACATGCTAATATTAAGCGAGCAATCGAGGACGAAATATTAAAACAACATATTCGGCGTTTTTGGCATTTAACTGACCCAATTACAAGGTTTGAACATAAATTTATAAAAAGAAAAAACAATAACCCTGATTACATTACCATTTAACCATCAAATCTTATTATTTTAATTGCTTTATGACACATCGATGTAGTATTTTTTAATTAAGATAACAACGAGTTTTTAAAAGGGGAAACAACCGACAATATTTTAGACCGTAATCCGATGCAGCGATACGAAAGGTCAGGAATATGGGGAAGTTATCACCCTAAACAGTCCTGACCCTGCCGGTACATGATCAAAGCCCGAAAAGGAACTGATGGGTTTCCTAGTTACCGCGAGAATCGAAGCACCGAAAGATCGATTCCGTGGAAAATCGGAGTTTCGATTCTAGGGCGCGATTCGCGAATTCGATCAACTACTGTACTGTCGTCCTGTTAACGCACAGGATATTTTTTTTGCAGGGATGATAAAGTTTCGTTTTCCAAAATAAAGGTTTCATACAATTTTTTATTTTTTTTTTTAGTACTAACTTTTTTTTTGTCGGGTGATGAATACTTTCTGTGCTGGTCCCACGCTTGGGATCTGGGGGACTAGTTTTGAAATATTTCACTCATATTCACTTATAATTTCGATCAACCCAAGTTTTGAATCAATTTCATGTGTGAATTATAATTCACATTCGAAAAAATTTCACAGATACAATTCGGATGGTCTTTAGCTGTCGAAATGCTTTCACTTGCGAAATATAATTTTATTTGGTTAGTATCATCAAAGTCGGTGTTGTGGTTTTCTAGCAGATACTTGAGTTTTTTCGGTTTATGTTTTTGGACATAGTTTGTTGAAGTATTGTGATGTTTGTTTATTTTAAACAACAGCTTATTTATTAATAATTTATTTAAACACTTATTTATTTTATAACACTATTATTCTAATTTATATATATTTCGAATGTCTTAAAACTGTTGACTATTTATCTTCACTGTCTATATAATAACTAACTTTGTTCATCCTCCATCAGTATTTATATACAAATTTAAAATATTGGCGAATGTGCCAGAATATTCACCAAATACTCTAGAAACATTATCCAGTTCTTTCTCGAACATTAATCGAAAGCTCGTCCGCCATAGTGGTCACATAGGTTCGGTCTTAAGGGGTTTAATTATGTATGATAATCAGACAAGTTGAGCCTCAAAGGCCAAATAAAACAGAGAGGGACTTGCGAGGATAGAGCATGACTGAATAATGAAATGGCTCACATAACAGTATAGATAGTAGGGTTGCCACCTGTCCTTTTTTGAACAGGACAGTCCTTTTTTGAAGCAAAATGTCCTTGTGACTTTTTAAAGCTTAAAATGTCCTTTTTACGGCAAATGTCTATTTTTAACCGACTTCAAAAAAGGAGGAGGTTCTCAATTTGTCGCGATATTTTTTTTTATGTATGTTCAGCGATAATTCTTTAACACGGAGTCCGATTTCAATGTTAGAAAGGGGGTACTTCAGGGGTGGTCCCATATAAATTTGGATAAAATCTAATAATTGGGCCCATGACAAAATCCTCAAACTCTTCATTTTTTATGTATGTTTAGCGATAATGCTTTACCACCTTGTCCGATTCATATGATTCTTTTTTGTTAGTAAGGGGGTACCTCAGGGGTGGTTCCATATAAATTTGGTTAAGATGTGGTGACGGCATCTGCACGTTTTTGAAGTCGGTTTTTTAAATTTTTAATTTCTAATACTTATTATTGTAAATGTCGTGTTTTGCAGCACATATTTTTTGGAAGGGACATGGTTTGTATAAAAATATAAGCTGAGGACCTTTTTTTTTAGAAGCTCGGCAGAATGGCGAGGAGAATATTCTGTTCAGCTCGACGACGTTTTTTTTTTTTTTTAAATGTTGAAGATTTTTTTGATAAGCTCGAAGACTTTTTTTTTCTAGAAGTTTAGTAGAAGGATGAGGACTTGTATACTAGAGCCCCTGTCAGCATCGTAGTCCTTTTTTCACTTTTCAAAAAGAAGGCAACCCTAATAGACAGTATAGTTAATTATTAACAAAGTATTAGTGAAGTATTAGACGAAAGTGGCGCGATAACGTTTAATTTTTTTTAACATATGGCAAATTTGTTAAATCCAAGAACGGTGCTCAACCCTTTTAAGCAAGATCCATTCAACCTGAGTGTCCGAAAGTTCCTCAAAATTTATAGACTCAATAAAGAAGCAGCTCGAGAATTAATAAATATATTGCAACCTCATTTGACAGCTCCTACATGAATATCAGCAATGGACAAAACCACTAAGGTATAGTAAAATCATTTTGTGCATTGCACCTTCAAGAAACTATATGTTTCTTGATTTTTTTTTTTAAATATAAATTAATTTTAGGTGCTGGCAGCCCTTCATTTTACAGAAGTGGTAGTTACCAAACTGACATTGGACTCAACTTCTACTCAGCAAATTCTCAACACAGTGTCAGTAATTGTCTGAAAGAGGTAACTGATAGTCATCTTCCTTGCATCTTTAATGAATATTCAGGGTGTCCCGAAATTAGACGGTCATATTTTAACAGCGTAATCTACATCCTAAAATAGAAGTAAAAGTTCATGTAAATATAGGTCCGAAAACGTTTCATTTTCGAGATACAGGGTGTTACAAGTGAAGTCCTGATAGCACATTTTTGTAAATATTTTCTAAAATTTCTTTAGTCACCGGTTTTTCAAAGTTTAAAAAAATAAAATTTCTGATTCCACAGGTCTACTAATTATTGTTTACACTTTCGAATAAGATACCATCAAATTATCATGAAATTTTCAAATGCTTTTCTCTTGAAAATGGTGAGTCCTAACGAGATACAACAAAAGTAGCTTTATTATAAAAAATATTGGTTTTCCAAATTTTTGAGTCAAAAATGTAAAAAAGAGTCAACAAAAAACTTAGGACAATTTAACCTTAAGCCCCTCCCCTAATTTACCCACCTATGAAGATGATCAAAAACTGGCGTTTAGTCCATTAAATACAGCGTAAAAAGTTTAGTATTTGTACCAAATTTCACTTAGTTATCTTTAAAAGTTTAGAAAATATTTACAAAAATGTGTCATCAAGACTTCACTTTTAACACCCTGTATTTCGGAAACAAAACGTTTTCGGGCATATGTTTATATAAACTTTTACTCCTATTTTAGGATGTAGATTACGCTGATAAAACATGACCGTCTAATTTCGGGACACCCTGTATTTACAAGATTAATTTGCTAGATGCTGGAGTATCAACATGGACTCGACGTGAGTCTTAAGGTACGTCCGACAAATGGTGATATAGTCTTAATTTATTATATTCTTCCCACTGTAATCTGTGAGGAGTATTATAGATTTATTTTCTAGAAACCAAAATTTTTAATATTGATCCAAATTTAAAAATTTTTGGTAACAAAATCTTTCTCATTAAATTTTAAACAACTGTTGTACATGCCAGAGCTGAGAAGAATCCTCAAAAAATTGATTCGAATCAAGGATCCTATTTCCGAATCCTTTTTGCAATAAAAAAGGATTCGAATCAAGTGATTCGAATCCAGTTTTTCGGATCACGAATATGAATCACTGTTAGTGTCATATCATGGTATTATGTATGCTTCCGAATCTAATATCAATATCAAATATGTGTCTATTACGGACTATGATTTGCATACAAATGGTTGATACTATAAATATGAACCATAAAAAATTAGAATCTACAAAAAATATATTTTATTTTAATACAAAAAACAAAATAAACAAGCAATGAAATAAAAATGTATTTTGGTTGGCCTTTCATAGCATTAAAATTTAAAGCCGTTCCTTTGAGGTGCGTCGGTTATACCTGCAAACAAAAATAATCGTTAAACTGCACCAGACGAAGGAAGGCAAGTGTTAAATTTTAGGATTTTTTTATGTTGGATATTCATTGTTAATTTGTAATGTCAAAGAAGGCAGCAGAACACCTAGGCAATTTTGAGTTGAAACCTATGCCAAATTTTTAAAGCTATTTTTATGCTACTCGTTTTTTACAAAAATCAAGGTGTTCTGCTAGCTTCGAACGAAGTCAGCAGAGCACCTGTTTTTTTCCAAAAACAACGACACCATATTTTTAGGCTCTTAAAATATTATTTTAAAAAAATACAGGATGCTTTGCTAGCTTCGAACTAAGCCAGCAAAGCATATCTGTCTCAACAGAGCACCCTGTATTTTTTAAAAAATACTATTGTTTTCGAAAAGTTTTATAATATTTTAATAGCTTAAACATGTGACATTAGAAGATGTTTTCGGAAAAAAAATAAATCGAGGTGCTCTGCTAACTTTGTTCCAACAAAGCACCCTGTATTATTTAAAAATAGCCATTTTTATAAATGAAAGAGATAGGATTAAGACAATGACTATTTTCATAAATACCTCCAAACAAACATATATTTGTGTTTTAAAGATATGGAAATATCAGCGAAATATATATTCCGATTTTTAAAAATATTATTATTGAAATTGAATAAATTCATATTAGCACATATTTCAAGTGAAATCACACAATTAAATCTTAACAGTCAACAAAAACTTCAATGTTATCATGTTTCATAAGTATAAATGCAAATAAAAACTAATTTGTTTATTTTTATTTAAAATCATAACATGCAGTGCTTTACTCCTCAAAATAATCATTTTTTAACTTAGAGAAAAGATATAATATTAATAGTCGATCGGTTGCAGTTCCGGACTCTAAGATTGATTCTCTCAACTACATGCACAGTTGTCGTGTAGTGTTTCATTGATTAAGGACTCTAAATAACGCATAAAAATTATAACATTCCATTTAAAATGGTTTATGTTTAAACAACGCCACCTAGTGCTTGTTTAAACAACTGAAACATAACTATTTTGAATTATTTTACTAAACAATCAATTTGCTTTAATCGATACTAAGTTTCTCAAAATTTGATAAACGACACCGTAGTTATAATAGTTTTATTAAATTAAGGTTCCCAATCGCCCCTACCAGTTATTTTATTGAATAGATTATTGGTAGACCGGGAGCCGAGAGGGTTTTTGCATGTATCATAGGCCCCACGCCGAGGCTTTGGAGGTTGATAGACAACGTTATTCCCTACTTTGAATTCCCGGTATGGCACTCCTAAAGTGTAGCTTTTAGGAGGGGTGAATTTTCAAACGTGTAATTAATATCCAGGGGCATAAATATTAATTACACGTTTGAAAATTCACCCCCCCCCTAAAAGCTACACTTTAGGGGTGCCACACCGGGAGTTCAAAGTGGGGAATA